AATAGTGAAAACATTTCGTTTTGTGTGCACCGCAATGAAATGCGTAGCAGTTTCATTTCGATGCTCAGCACTTGTTGAGAGCTCTCCGGTAAGCCGCATTTTTCGTATAATTTCCTACGTTTTATAAAGTTAGGAATAATTCGATGTTTTAGGCAGCGGCGTAGAAAATAGGTCTTTTGTCGCATTAAGACGGTTTTCTGTCTAAATGACAATACGTCCCTTACAAGTCGGAATTGTTTTGCTGGAACATCTCTTAATAACTCGAAAGACCGACTTTCTATGAACCTCGGCATAGATAGTTGATATATTTATTTATGTGATCTTATAAACTGATCCAAATAAAGCTCTCAGTAAGTGGCTATTTAACAAAATGGTATCGCAAGCCAAGTAGTAAAAACATTCTAGTCCACTGCCTCTCCTCTCATCCTTCACACATAAAAAAAGCACTTATCAAAAACATGTATCCTACGGCTAAAAATGTGTGCACAGGAGAAGAGGAAAGGAAGGAATCGCGAAACCTGGCACGAAAAATTGCCATTTCCAATGGCTACGAAGTAGAAGCCACTCGGGTTAGAGGAAAACATTGGGTAGTTTCCCAAAATAATATTTCAGACCCCCTTTAAGCTGCCCTTCATATCAAATGAAGTAAGTCACGCCATTAAAAAGTGCTTAAGAAAAAGTGGTCTTGAAAATTATGTAACGATTGTTGACATCCCACCCAATACCCTACGCCGCCAGTTAGTTCGAAACCGTCTCTGTGATCGTTTGTGCAGCTCAGAAAACGGTATGGTCTGTCCTAACGGGAGGGACGGGGTTTGCATGAGTTTAGGTATAATATACTTGATATCATGTAACGCATGTGGCGAGGAATATATCGGGGAAACGGGTAGACCATTTTGTGTCCTCATAAAAAAAATATCTAGATGGAAAAGCTAAAATTCGAAAAAGCACTCCTCAAGGTACGCATAGGGCACAAAGGCACAACGGCGATGATTTTGAAGTGAATGTGCGGATCCTAGCGAGGAATCAAAAACATCAACGCGCAAAACTCTTGAGGCGTTTTGGATAAATTTCAAAAATCCAAAGATGAACCGGAAGGACGAATGCCTCACTATCACGCGTGACCTGGCGCCCTATTTCAAAATGATATTTTGACCCCGGAGCGTGTCTTGCTCGCGTGAACTACGTGTGGGCCAGTCCCGCACGTAACATCACTGTGAGTGGCCTTTCTGTTCAATATGGCGTCTATTTGAGAGCTTGATCCTCATTAATACTTTAACCTTCTTTACCACCGAATAATAAAAAGTATTCTAACATAAAGTACGTCCAGGCTCTGAGGAAGGCGAAGTCGCCGAAACGTCAGCCATCGTTCAATATCATCAAAAACAACGACAACGACAACGAAGATCTGTACCAACCTCGCGTCAGCTTAAGAAGATCAGTTTATAAGATCACATAAATAAATATAGTTGAAGAGCTGTTGACTCACTTTCATTCCAGATAAAGGTTCCGGGTAAAGCACAAGTTATGGGAACAATAGCGAAGCAATTTTTTTGTGGGCCAACTACTTCTTCTATTTTTAATAGGTTGAGAAGCCTAGTCAACGCTACAGGGACCTTTCTTCCCTCATGGTTCAAACATACATTATTTTTACTGACAGTTTAGGCATATTCGGCCTCACCTAGTCCTTCAATCATATTTGGAGACTGCATGAAGGGCCTATTGTGAAAATGTGCAGCCAAGTGTGGCATCCATCTGCATAAATCAATCTATCGCCTGCAGATTTCGTGGTGGAATTCTAATTGAGTTCTCTTCGATGGTAGTGTTTCTACCATCGATTTTGTTGTGCAACAGAACGTAAGAACCCTGAAGAAATGGAGACGTTGTATTGGTTGGAATAACGAATTATTAAAATACCATGATCACATGTGTCACGGGACTTATCATCCAGGTCCCAATAAATGCAATCAAAGGGTTGAACACATGTGTACCTGCTCAGAGTATTTCAACGGCCTCAAAACGTAAAACTTTTAGTGCTGATAATGGAGTGTAAATTGTAAAAAGGGTACTTTATATACTAACCATTAATGTTGTGAGAACCCTGTAATGCTCCCAAAGAAGTTCTGTAGGAACTTAGACCTTCCATTTTTCCGGATATACCTTGGCACCATTGTCACCAGCAACGAACTCTCCAGGACTCTTGTCACCACACTCGTGAGGAACAAACTCGTTCCAATACGCTTTCCATTAACTGAGGTATGGACGATATCCCCACCACCACTCTCATAAGTTAACACCACAAGACAGCATCTGTGCCGCAGACACAGTGAATACTAAACATTGGAAACTGGCTAAAAATAAAAAAACACTGAGAGAGAAAGTACGTCACCGAACCGAAATAGTACTCATGTAAGTTGTGCCACACGTATGCACCAGAATCAATGTGCACTATTATGATCGCACTGATTAAGTGATATTATGATATTGATAGAAAATCGCTAATTTGGGCTTAACCTGGGACAAAACCAGTATCAATCAGTATGTTAACATTTAATAGCCAAGTAGTGTCACATTAGGGTATAATGCAATACTAAACACTGACCTCAGGTAACGATGGACATAGAAGAATATCCAAGTCATCGGATTCTTCACGAACTCTGGACGTGGACGTGCCCTGAAGAACAAATACGCAACGAGAACTCCGGAGAGTAGGAAAAACCTGTCGGTGGATAGGAAGCCGTTGGTAATTGTGGTCGACAGCAACGGATTCCATACTGCGAGCATCGGAAGTATCGACTCTGAAACATTCTGAAGTAATTCTGTAATATCGAAAATCTTAGCATTTCATGAAGTCGAAAAAGATTCCTAACACAATCAGTGACATCGGAGATCATTACTTTTTTGCCACTCTAGACGAAATGGGAACGTACAACAGTTCCATTTCAACATTTCCTCTCTGAGACTTTTTGTAATTATCGCGACAAAAACCGAGAATAAATCTGCTACTGACTAACCATTTTAACTTGCCGCTCCGATCGCATGGGAAATAGCCACCCAAGTCATCGAGTTGAATCGGATCGACGCTAATGATCGCAGGGTGCCCTCCTTCGGTCGGCCAACATCCAGAAGAACAGCAGCATTCGAATAGAATGAGAATGCAAGGAATATGCTTATAGCTCAAAAGCTACAGATGTCAAATGCAGTTATGAGCTAAATTTTAACAAAGGTTACAAGTATCTGAAATGATAAACATCTTTTTACGGGTACATCTTGTAATAGTTGCCAGGATCGGCTTTCTCTTAACCTCGGCATTGGAATATGAATGTGTCGTTTTCTTGTTCAGCAATCGCGAGGTTTTTAAACAGCATACATTTATGATAATACGGTATAATGTATACCTTTCCAGGCTCTGAAGAAGGCGATACTGCCGAAACGTCAGCTAGCGTTATATTGTATTGTGTTTTTTATGGAAGTAAATGTATGCTGTTTAAAAATCTAGCGATTGCTGAACAAGAAAACGACAGATCTTTTTACGGCCATTTTTCAGCACCTTGGAAGAAAAGTCTTCAAAGCTTAAACGTTGTATTGTTGATAACCTTATAAAAGGGCGCGTGTGGCTCAGTGGTTGGAGGCGCTCTGCAACGCACACGTGGAATCGATCCGTGCGCACATGGCCCACTAAACCTTCTATCCCTTCGGGGTCGAAAAGTTGGGACCACACTTGACAAGGAGGATAGCAGCATTGGCTTGATACATCGGTAGGCCACCACGAGTCATTGAAAGGCCAGATACGCATTCAGTCACCTCCAAACGATGCTTAATGAAGTCTAGTGCATGGCGCATCCCTCAGGGATTGATCAACCCCGAGAGCTTTATCCTTTTTTTAACTCTAACCCTATAAAGTTAAAGGTAACCAATGTACGCATTGTTATTCTTTGTTATTTTGCATAGACAGCGTACTGATGAGAGTACAGATCGCCCTGTATTGCCCTGAACTAAGCACCATCCTTGAACAAAAATCGCAAGAAGAACAGGTGACGTTTATTTAGAAATGGGTACAGAACGAGCAATCAACACATGAAAAACGTGTGTTGTTGACATCTATTCGAGGTACAAAGAAATCTGGGGTTTGGCTGCACCTCAGAGGTTTCGAACTATCAAAAACCGTTTGCCAGCTCGTCGTGCTGTCGGAGTACAAGCCACTTAAGAATACAGTACACAGTTACATTGACCATCGAAATGTGTACTGCATTGTCACTGTGTTTTGAAGCTAGAGGAGTGCATGTGTAACAAAGAATCGAGGGACCTCTCATGTGCAACAGAAAATTTTCATTGCCCCGATTGTCAATGAAGTTGCTCATACCTGTGGTGGCCTTTGCGTTACAGCTATTATCGGCATGAAGAACGTAGTCGGTGATAGTAGCAAGAATGAAGAGCCCACAACACGAAAAATGACGAGAAAGCTCTAAATTTCTACTTGTCATTCCACATTTTTGCTTGGTTATGCAGCACGTGAAGACTGTAAATGTGAAATGCTAGCTCACTTGAAAATCCAAAACGACGTTGTCAGTACGACTCTGGTTGGGACACAAACTGCGTCGCTAAATTCTAGAGGTAAAAAGTGCCGCTTAACGGTTGAGCTCATCAATAGCGGAATGCCCTAAAAGTGAATTCATTGTACCCGGCAACATGTTGATAACGCCGACGACCCTTGGAAGCAGGTAAAACCTGCGCCAGAAAACGACAAATCCCCGGCACTCACTGGTGTGTTTGACAACTCACTCCTGTGGTAACATGAAAGATCACTCACGCGTTCATCGCAACTCCTTGACATGCAAACTGCTAACTTCATTGTTAGCTTCTCCACCGTTACGTCGACACCGTGCAACACAGCGGAGTTACGTGGATCATTTAAGTGAATGTTCTCGCCCATGATTTCCAGATGGTACTGCACTCGTATGCAAACGTTTGTTACCTTGTAGAACATTAGTCACTAGACATTACTGAGCTCTACTTTGTATATGTGTATGACTAGCCCATAACGATCCACTAATGCGCTGCACAGTTATTAGTGCCCCGTTTGACGCTGTGCAGGACCTCTAAAGCAGCTTTTTCAAGGTGCAACATTATTTCGCAATGACTGGGTAGCCGACTCGTGAGAAATCGTTGCTTTTGTTCCCATTTTGTTTTCTTCGTTGAATCTTAATACTTTCGAATTTTACACACCACCATCTGTACGTCTGTACGTTACGTCTGTCCGCCTGTTACCATCTGTACGTTAACTTTGTTCCGTTCTTAACACTCTCTCAAAAAAAACTTTGAGCAACCGACACGTAACCGCCTGCTGAATCGTCTGATGAAGGTATTGCCAGTTTCCAACATGGAGTGGGAAAGTAGGGTACTACTTTTTCTGCATTGCCATATATATTGTTGCTGTGCTATCAAGAAGAACAGTGGTTGTTTGTCGTCAATTGTCGTTGGCCATTAACTTTGTATTAAACCTCCTTTTGAGAAATATTTCTTCACAATATGTTCCCGTTTTGATAGAGCGCCAGCCTACTCAAACATTATGGGAAATTTCCTTAAATGCGGGAACACTTGCCCCGGACCACATGTGAGACTCTGTTCAGAGAAATACTATTGCTTTGGATTAAGTTGTGGAACTTTCGTCAACACGAGGATAATGGCAGTCTTCTAACGAGACCCAGACTTTTGAACATTCGACCAGGACTTGACATACTATACGTCGTTCTCGATCGCTTAGTCGATTAGTGGAGCACGTCGTTACAGTTTGGAAACGTCCTCACGCGAAAAGCATTTAACATTTCAATAAGGAGAGAGGACGAATCCTAAGCGGCAACCGCAGCTACGTATAATACTAACCCGACATTCTCCTTACAGAAATACTGTACTAGGCCGCACGACAAATGTGGACAGGCCATCCAAACAAGTGACTAATATCCATTCGACTATTTAAAGTACCCTCTATAGGTACAACCTCTTGGATTTCGTCTACGTTGCGATCTTCTGCTTCCTAGTTTTTCTTCTTAATTGGCGTTTTTATAATTGCTACAGTGACGGACCGCCATGATCTACTGTGAAACTGCATGTTGGCTCATGTAGCCCTATTGTTATCATAAACACTAACCGCGCTGTTAAACTGCATTCCAGCAAAACAGTAGTGAGTTTCATAACGAACGAGCAGTTCGTTGCACTCGACGTACGAGCCAATGCTAGTCGTCGGCAGCTCCATAATTCCGGCCGGTAACTTTCTAAAAGCATCTGGCTCTGAAATCTCACTATGGACGCTATGAATGCACTACGAATTGATTTTAAAGCGATTATCTTAGAGGATTTCTAAATTATGAAAGGTTCTGTGATGAAATATTTTCACGCAGAAAACTGCTTCCGGCATATCAGCCCTTATCAAAATCGTTCGGCATCTGGTCTTGCTTAGTTACTTCCTCTAAATCCGTATGAGTTGGTGATGTGGAAAATTTAGTAATAATTTGAAACGGGATGAAGCAGAATTCGTCAGCAATTAAAAAAATAAAAGGATAAAGCTCTTGGCATTGATCAATTCCTGAGGGATGGCCCATACATTAGACTTCATTAAGGATCGTTTGGAAGTGATTAAATGCGTATCTGGCCTTTACAGTGACTCGCGGTGGCCTACCGATGTATCGAGCCAGTGCTGCTATTCTCCGAGACATGTCTAGTACTAGTATTTGCCGACTCCGGAGGGATGGAAGGCTTGGTTGGCCATGAGCACGGGAATCAATCCCGTGTGCGTGTTGCAAGCCGCTTCCGACCGCTGCGCCACCTGTTAATAAATTGACAACATTAGGAAAACAACCAATAATGAAATAAACTTGAATCAGGGCTATTCAGGACCCTTCAGACGCAAAATTCATTCAAATTAAAATTTTTCAACAGCAACAACAAAAAGTTTAATTTATGGATAAGACGTCCCCAATGGCTTGCCGCCTCATCGTGGCTGAGAGGTGTTCCTCGATATCGAGCGATATAGAGGTCCACATAGCAGGGCTTCACAAGCTGAGAAGAAGTTCCACGTTTGCGACCAGAAGACCATCTATGAGTGGACCAATACCAGGAGTTACTGCTTTCTGGGAATCAAATCTACCGCAAGGTGGAAAACTTCTTGTGATTCACAAGTGCCGGCGAATTCCTCCTGTGGTAACGTGGAAGAAAGCTTCAGTTAAGCTGCTTTCGCGAGTTCATGAAGCACTAATAGCTCAAACAACAGTATAGCAGTCTCAGTATCCGGCAAACTGGGCACTTCCGCCTACGACATTGAGCGGTGAAAAAACTAATGAGAAACAATCACATTCCAGGTCGCACAAGTCTCCATTTGAACCACACCGAGCGTACAGGCCCGCGATACACCATAGAGACTCTGGACCGCATGTGTCTATGGTGGGGAACGAACGCGCTATTGTCCTTTCCGGGGAGTAACGCGTTCACCACCACACCATGCGGGTCCTTTGTTTCGCCTGTCTCTCATCTATTTCTGTCGATCTTTGCCACAGCAAACACCCGTCAGCGGGATTGACCTAGGGCGCCCAAATCGGCATAGAACTCAGTTAAACTGCGGCTGTAGTTGAAATCACAATGTTATACCTTTTTATTTTCTGTCTACTATAATTTCGCGGCAGGGTACTAAACGAAATACAACCACAACGTTGCTGAGATATTTGCAAAACTCTGGACCGCAGGTGTCTATGGTGGGAAACGAACGCGCTATTGTCCTGCTGTAAAAAAGGTACAATATTGTGATTTCAACTACAGCCACAGCTTAACTGGGTTCTATCCCGATTTGGGCGCCCCAGATTAATCCCGCTGACGGGTGATTGCTGTGGCAAAGATCGATAGAAATAGATGAGATAGGCGAAACAAAGGACCCGCATGATGTGGTGGTGAACGCGTTACTCCCCGGAGAGGACAATAGCGCGTTCGTTCCCCACCATAGACACCTGCGGTCCAGAGTTTTGCACATATCTCGGCAACGTTGTGGTTTTATTTCGCTTAGTACCCTGCCGCGAAATTATAGTAGGCAGAAAATAAAAAGGTATAACCATAGAGACTGTTTAATGCTCTAAGGCTATAATAGCAGAACAGTCCTTTCAGATGCAGACTTCCACACTTCTCATAAGGCCGTTTGTCGCAAGAAATTTCATGCTGTCGCCTTAGAAGAAACGGAAAGGTGTACCAATATACGCCAATTGGCTGATGGGACACTTGTAATTGGTGAAGGGAATATTCCGTTTGGAAATGTGGGTGGTCTTAGCGTTGTTGTGCATCCGTTTTTTCCAATCAGATCACCTCATGTGAGCTGCTGTAATCTCGCTTGGCTATCTTATCTTCATCTGTAACCTCCTTGTCAAAAGCGAGTCTGAGAGTCAGTTTCACCAACTGCTAATCAAGTTTCTGTAGTTGATCTAATCGAATTGGAAGCATTTTAGAACCATTAAGAAGAAGTAATCAGCAACGAAATGTTTTGTAGGTTCGCTACTGTATAACCCAATTCCATAACGCGAAACGTTAACGAAGATGAATAAAGGAAAGGAAAAACCGGAAAAGGGGATCGAAATGGGAATGCGAAGCGTCTTGCAGGACTCTTGTCTAAAGCACATCTATTCTACCGAGATTCATTTTTCGAGAAGGAAGAAAATCGATGGTGGACATAGAGGGTCCAAATGGGAGGACACGCACAAACAGCGGATACATTACTGCAAACAGAAAAGATGGTGCTTCTTTGACACGAGAGGCTTGCCATCAGTCTGCACTGGATCCCTTCACCGCTTTTCGCGTGAAGACCACTTCAGCCATAAGCTACAAAACAACTGTTATCACAGCATAATAACAACAACACAAGCCTCCTGTGACTACAATATCTCAATAAAATCTTCTCCTCAAGCAATAACACAACTAAGGAAGATTCGACTGAGGATTCCAAGTTGCTTGTCGACAAACTTAAAACTTATGCTGAACTAACCTCGGTTCCTCAAAGGGAAGTTCAGACCGCATTCCTATTACCGCTAAGGAGTTGCTAGAAAGATGAAGAGAACTGGAAATTGACCCCACTGCAACACAGGCAACACACTAGTAATAAATGTCACTTGTAGAAGGTCTTCGTAGGCGGATTTATATTGGAATAGGCAGGAGAGTTATTCGATGCAGCTCACAAACAAACTGGTTTGAAGAAGTGAAATGCGGGATGTGACAACAATGTCTCACTTTCAGTCTTCATGAATGAAGACAGGAATACCACCACATCCTGCTATAATATGAAACTGATAACGAGAAAGTTCTATACCAATATTTTTTGCTCCGCAGCCACCCGTCTTGGCCTCCGAAGTTCCCTATAAAAGAAAACCGCCAGCATTCTTCCCTCTGATGTTCGAGTTGCGATAAAGAGGAGCAGCTCCAAGACTTGATAATATCACCACCGGATTGCTTATTGTTAGAAGCAATAAACTACATGGTTTACCCCTCAACGGTTTACCGCCTCATCGTGGCTGGGAGCTGTTCCTGGTTGTCGGACCGCGTTATGCAGCGGTGGACTCATCCTCTGGCAAGATCTCTCAAGCTGGGAAGGAGTCCGGCGTTTCCATCAGGAAGCCTAGCTAAGAGTAAACCAATACCAGGATCCACCACCGTCCTGGTATCAAAGTCGCATGGTTGCAAATCTCTCTCTGATCCACAAGGGCTGCAACTGTTTGTGGTGGTGAAGACCTGGGGCAGACTTTGGCCAGGCTGACCTCAGGACTCCAGGGAGCCCTAATGGCTTAATCAAAAAATCTCCGAAAAATGGAGATTATGCTGGAGCCCGCACAACCAATGAGGACCGACCATTCAAGTATCAAGTAACAAGTAATAAACTACGTGTACTTCTCGTAAGACGTATGACATCTTATCTTCAAAAGGAGAAAATCCCAGGCAGGTGAAGGACTTCATGTGCTTGTCCTTGTCGTCCTGCCCAGGAAAGGTGACTGAAGGGACCTTCGTAAATATCTTCCAATATGCTTGTTCAGTGTACTCTACAAGATGTTCATGAAGAGTGTCCTGTTGCGAATAGCAAAGAATTTGTGTAAGGCATAATCAGTTGAGCAAGCAGGAGTGTAACTTCAAGAACACCGCGAGTTGGGTGAGCAACATTTTCACCTTTTACTTTAAAATAATTAGCCTCTTAGTTTATTCAGCATCATTTTATTTTTTTAATGTAACTTTTAAGAACTCTTAAGTTTTTTTCACCTACTGTAGATGTAGCGATGTTAGCTCACGTTTAACAGAGTATATGTTCTTGTTAAGGATTTTCTTCTGGGACGAATCACATCCACCATGTTTCATGCACGATATCTTGGTTAGTACAAACTGCGAGAGACTTAGGGAAAGTCGCCATGTCCAGTTTGCATTGCAGAGAGACGTTGCTCGCCAACGAGCCATTTAAATCGACGAATGCTGAGAAAGTCTGAAACGACAAGAATGTTGCTGATGAAACTCAGTGAAGAAATAGTGGTGTACCTCTGACGTGACGTCATGGTGATTGTGGGCAAATGAAAATTCCGCTTTAAGAGGTTGCTAGAGTGGTGTCGATTTCGTCGCAAGCACAGCTGAAGATCCTTTTATTCGGATGCGTGGGCGATAAGGCACCCAATGGGTGTTTTGCATGAGAATATTGCACAAGAAAACAGCGAACCCAGTCACAGGCTATTTGAATAGTTGCTAAATGGAATGACTCCAAATTCATGAGTAACTATTTTATCCTTGTGGAATTAATCGAAGAAAAATGTTAAGAACTTAAACGGTGTTTGGAATTTGGAACATCGAAGCCTAAGAATTCTTTCATAACTTTTTCCAGTAGTTTTATGAACAACTCATCGCCGCTTTCCCAACACCAGATTTCGAAGCTGATGTGATAAGCCTATCGAATGCTATGAACGCTTCGCATAAGCTTATTCTAACACGATTTAAATATCGAAATAAAAGTGAGTCCTCATGAAACCTACTATATCCGCACATCATCAAGGTTGTTGTTATGAAAAAATTCAACTATCGCCACAATTCACACGCCACAACCGCAAGGAGGAGTGTCTTGTCATCACGCGTGAGCTGGCGCCGTACCTTAGGCTAATCCAATGACCTGACACAGACACAGTCCTCGCCCATGTGCGGTCTGTGCTGTCGCTCTCCACCAACTGATTAGAATACTAACAATGGATAAATTTTAGG